AGATGCACAAGAAGACGCGTGTCGATAGCGCAGCGTCTTCCACACAAGCCTCAAACGCTGCTCATCAGAGCAAGGTAGGAATCGTCAAACTTTTTATTTTGGTTCTCTATTGATTTTTAAACGCTTTCCTTTCTAGGATCTCTATGAAGTTAAGCAAGAAACTTCAACTGCGCCCCAATCGCAGCCGACGCAATCTCAAATGCAAATTCAATCTCAGCCCCAACAACAGCCTCAGATCATGCATGTCGACTTGGATGGCAACACTATAACAATCACCCAGGCATCCGATTCTAGTATGCCACAATCTATCGCGAACTTTGTTCAGCTGGGATTTCCACAATTTCAAAATGCTAGCGGCCCCTCAAACCAAATAGTTTGTAAGCTTGAAAAGTAGATACTAACATTTTGGTTTAACTTGTGTAGTGCTTCTCTAGTCCTTGACTTAGTTTAATAATGTTTCTGTCTCGCAGATTGTCAGTTTTTTACCGGCACATTTGTTTATATATATGTTTTATTGTATTTTATTTATTTAGAAGTTAATCCTATTTTCGACTGTGTCGACTGTAAAAGCTCTTGTGTTCTGTCTCTATTCGTGCAATATAAATGTTTTCCTTATTATTTTTGTATAAAATTTATTTATTTATTTATAGCGTGGTTCCTTTCTACTAAATAATTTGTATTTTATTTTCAAGTTGTCCGTTTTCATAATTAGTTTCTTCAACCTTGTTTTTTTTTTATATAATATACATATATATATATATGCTAAAACTTGCCAATATTAGAAGTACATACATATGTATATATGCACTCACATTTTAGATTAATATTTTAATAGCGTTTAAATGTAAATATTTATTGAGATCATAAACATAGCAGTAAAGGTATATCAAATACTAAAACCTTTGTAATGCCCCACATCTGTTGGGTAGAAATGGAAAATTGAAAATAAAAGTCAGATCGAAAATAAAAATAAATGCGATTGTTTAATTTACGGAATAATTATTTTATTTGTTTGGAGCACTCTGTTCGATGCGATATACAACATATGGCAGCCCCAATTGTTTACCCATTCATTTTGGTACGTTTTTTTTTTTTGATTTTTCGTTCGTGGACTGCAAATACAAATTGGAAATGAAAACAAAAAAGGAAAAACAGTTTTCTCGCCATCCTTAAATCATTTGATTTCCACGAATTACAACGAATGCAGGCAACTAAATACCATTGGCAGATGCAAATTGAAGCACGTTTCCAACTAAATATTATGCAAAACATTCTGAAATTTTCAATTGAAACCAGTTTGAGAGAAAATTAACAAAATAAATAACATTTAATGGGCATTATTTAGAATTGTAACATAAAACTATGCAGTTATATTTTAAGGGTTTTTCATTAATACTTTGTATGGGATGTAGGATTGTGGAATTTGTGTGCCGCTTATAGTATAAATGCTACATACATAAATACAACTTTAGCAGTGTTAAATAAAAATATAAAATTCTTTGGCCTAATTAAACATAACAAAGGAAAATTCGTATAGCTAGCAATTACATTCTAAACACATAAATACTACTGCAAGGCACTGGAACAATTAAACGGACTCTACATTAAAGGAACAGTTCCGCAGATGAGTGCAAAAAGCGTGGCATACGCACAGGCGCGGGACGATGATGGAAACCTCCAAATAGATGTGGGTGTAAACTGTATGATTGCGCTTTGGAGTTTAATTTAGCTTCCGTGTGGATGGTGCGAATAACTACGTGCAAGTTTATTGTTAGATGAAGAGCAGAACAAGCCAAGCCAAACCAAACCAAACCAAACAGAACAGAACAAAACCAACCAAAACCAAGGAGGGAGACGAAAAGGGCAAAAGTGAAAATTTGTGGTGAAAAATGTGCAGTGCTAACCTTAATGATTGTTTTTCAGGCTTGCAGCTGCTCTCAATCGTAACTCAATGAGAACTCGTTAATCTTTTGGACATCGCCCCACACTTGAATCGATTGGATCTCTGATAGGGAAAAGAGTGTCTCGAATTTTGTAACAAAGTTATAGCCCTGACCACGCACTTGGTACACGATTATGGTGGAATTATCATAGTCGAATTGAAACGCAAGCGAAAATGTTGATTCTGTGAACGAATAGTGAAGTACGGCATCAATACCGTCTATAATACTGGATACGCTTGGCTTTTTCACATAGTTTTTACCATCGAATATATTCAGATATTTCTCCTGATGCGATCCGCTCCATTCGCCATTTCTCTTGTAATTCTCGACAATCGTCTGCGATGGCACCTTTACTTTAAAATGATATGTTATGTTGTCTGTGCAGCTGGGACTGTTCACAAAATTAATGGAAAATCTGTAATGTTAAAAAAAAAAAACAAGAAAAATAATCAATTATTAACAATGTTAAGCCCCATTAAACCGCCAAGTCATGTTACACATCCGGCATTTGGTGGTCGGGGTGTGAAAAACGTGCAACCCATGCGGAATCCACGGCTACGAAATATTAATTTTTTTTTAACGGCAAATGATTCATTGCAAGAACATTTGCGCCAATTAGCATTCAGCGTTAGGTCTTGATCAATTGTCTCCATTTGCCTCTATTTTTAGACATTTTCAATGATATTTTGGGTGAGGTACATAAGTGTGTACCTTGATAGGCTTTTATACTCTTCAGGAAAGTGGCTTTGTGAGGAAAGACTCCAACTCCAACTCCAAAGAGTGTACAGATCTTTCTCATTATCAACCTATCCCGAGAACCCTATCGCTATGTTCGTCTAAGTGTTTAAAAAACTTGTCTTTCGCATTGGAACTCTATAAGATATGTAAGAATGGATCGAACTGAGAGTTCTAGTTAACAATTGATTTTGATATCTATAAACAAATGGAGTTCCTGAGAAAGAATTTCTCAATTAATACTGATAGCAAATCTGATATAAACTACAATAAACCATATCACACGCAAGCTATTATGATATTATTTGCTTAATTGAAATTTTTGTGGTATAGAAATAGAGAGTAAATTAATCTTTAACTAATCAAGAAGTAATCTTGCTTTAATTAAGTGCCAAGCTTCCAAGCTTAGAAATTTGTTCTTAACATTCCAATAAGAATATTGAATGGGGTCCATACAAGAACTAAATATTAGATCGAACATTTCTATGGTATCCGGTCGATTGGTCGTAATGATTACATCAACACTCCGCTTACCCAGGCAGATGGACAGGTCGATATCGGGTCAACTGATGGGTTTTAGAATGGGTTTAAATGCACAGAGGAGAAGACCTTTTATTCAAGTGTGAAATGAATATATAGACGGATAGGGAGTCCGTATGTGATTCATAGAACAATTCCAATTCCCTTCTGTAAGGGTAAAAGAACGTAACCCATCTAAAGAGTTCTCCTATCAGAAGCAGGGATTTGAGTAGCTTGTTTGTGAATATGCGTCATGCAAGCAGGTATCTAAGGGGCTTATCAATTTAACAGTAGTACTAAACAACAATTGATTGGGCAAGAAACAACAAAGGTGGCGTTATCATCACGACAAGATAGCGATATCGACAGCAAGGTCTTGTAAATAAATGGCTATGTCAGGCCTTACATCACGAAACCGGATCTGAATTGTAAAGCTTCACATCGCTGGGATGTGATGAAATTGGTAGAATTGTGATTTATTGACAGCATTTGCGCCAGCGAGCATCGAGTTGAAGAATGGACAGAATCAACGCTTGCTCACCCGCAGCTGACCTGTTGATATGCCATAATATACATACATGTATATTGTCTGATGCCTCGCATTAAGTTCTGTTGTCTGTTTTGAAAAGATTTTTATTGTTGTCCGACAGCGTCCCACTGGCCGGCAATTTAGCGGCATCTTCAGCGCGTGGCTGCTGCTTTAATTTGGTGCTGATGATGTCATTGGTTGTGGGAACTGATATGGCGATGCCAAGAGCGGGGCAGGCGTTCAGTGTGGCAAGATGGTACCTCAATTGGATGCTACTATCAGCAAGTTGTGCATCATATTTAATTTCATTTAATTCACCGCAAATCGTGTTATTAATGCGGAGCTACTTCAAATTCTTGCACGCAAAATTCGAATTGCTTTTTTCTTAGAAAAAATGAATTACTTAAAGGGCACTAATCGATTTTTTAGAACACTTTTTTTTTTTTTAACATGTAGCAGAAATTAGCGTGTTAGTCAACCTACTGTTGTGGCTCCTGCAGCAGGCTGCCTCGTATGGCAAGTTTACTCATCCTGTCCGATTCGTCGGGATTAGCTGGCAGCACAACCAAAAATTTAACCTCAGCCATTTTTAATATATTTTCTTCGGAACGCTTCTAAATTTGTGGCTGTTGCGCACGTTTAACCAATTAGAACGACACAAATTGTAACAGTAAATTGCAAGCTCATTCAACGAAATGTAAACAAAATTTAGCCTATGCTTTGCCTTGCTTTGCTTGGCTCTGCTTTGCTTTGTTGCTAACGGTTACAACTTAGCCCCGAGCTCTTTACAGTTCGCTGGCACGAGTAATACTGTTCGAATGTAAGCACGAGGCGGACGTTCTCACCAAAAAGTTCATGTTAAAGATCGCACAGTGACGTCACGGGCAAAGTACTTTTCGCTGGATACGAAGTGCATATTTGAGCTTTAATTTACGTATAACCTAACTAAGCCGACGCGACACGCGCTGCGCTGCTTCATACACGTCGTGTGAGTCAATACTGAACAAGAATTTTTCGGCTGGCCCACATAGCAGACGCGAAAATGTGTGCGAGCCGACTGCCACACACTCTTGCATAAATATTATCTTATCTTAATTATATTTTCATATCACAAAGCATGAGATAGCCGCAAAATTCAATTTCGATTTAAAGTTATTCGTTATTATGCTTATAGAAGAAACTTGTTTTAGTACATATTCTAACTTAATATGTAGCGTGATGTTCACCTGAAGAACTAGCTGAAATACGTGCCGAAAATAAAAATATAGAATGTGTACTCAATTTTGAGTAAACAGCTGTTGCTATTTAAATATATTTTCGTTTTTACTCTTAAAGAATGATTCCTGAGGCTTGCGTGTTTTTCGATCAATAATGATTTTGCTATAGTCTATTCTTAGGCAGCGCTGGAATTCAACTATAGCCAAGGGTAATTTTTAGTTTTAGGTATAGAAAGACCAAGGATCCAGTGAAATCTTGTTCGGAAAGAATCACAGTTTTGAGTATTTTTGAAATCGTCACTTAAACATTAACTTTAGCTACAGATACGAAAGATTTACAATTTGAATTTAGAAGCTAAAGATTGCTTCTGAAGTAATAACACAAATGCTGAATTAGATTATGCTCTAGTTGCTCAGGATATATAACTTTCATGTGAGCAGTACACAAACATATTTGGATTATTTTATTATCGTTGTTTTCCGAGAAATTTGGGTGTGAATTCGATTTAGATAACCTCGGCCTCCATTTCGCAGCCTTTCAGAGCAGCTAAGATATTTCTGGCCGTAATGCGAGACATCTCCTTGCGAGTCTCAATGTCCGCGCTGCCTATATGAGGCAGCACCACAATATTATCCAGCTTCAGTAGTGGACTGTCTAGGGGCAATGGCTCCGGCGTGGTCACGTCCAAACCTGCCGCCAGGATCCGTTTCGAATGGAGTGCATCATAAAGAGCATTTTGATCCACAACTCCACCACGCGAGGTATTGATAAAAATGCAATTGGCTTTCATTTTCTCAAAAGCAGCAGCATTAAATATCTCTTTTGTTTCAGGGGTTAGGGCGCAGCAGATTACAATAAAGTCCGATAAGCAGAGCATTTCATCAAAGTCCACACGCCGAGCATTAACCTTTGCAGCCTCTTCCGGCCTGGCCGTTCGGGTCGTGTAAGTTATCTGAGCTGGCTTGAAAGGCAGAATGCGTGATGCAATCTCCTGCCCAATGCGACCGAAGCCATACAGGCCAACGCGTGAGTTCTTAAGGCCCTGTCCACACATCCACATGGGCGCCCACGATTTCCAGCCGCCATTGTAAACTTGTTTGTTGGCCTCAAACAGGCGTCGGTTCGTGGCAAGCAGCAGAGCCAGGGTCAACTCGGCGGTGGCATCGGTCAGCACATCGGGTGTGTAGCCAACACGAATGCCCCGTTTCTTGCACTCCTGCACATCGATGTGCTCAAAACCAACAGACATGGTAGACACGCATTTTAGCTTCTCCCCAGCAGCATCCAGCACAGCAGCATCAATTTTATCTGTGAGAACGCAATAGAGCGCATCCTTACCCTGGACTTGACGCAGCAATTCGTCCCGTGGCACCGGCAAAGACTGCGACCAGGTGGTAACATTGCAACTAAGATTAACAAAAAAATAAATAAATTAAAACGATTTAAGTGCTGCGAAAACAACAACAACCTCTTACGCAGCAAGTCCAATCCACTGACGTCGACATCTGGACGAGTTACATAAACACTTTGCAGAGAACTCATGGTGGATTTGCGTATGAATTGGGCAAGACTTTTGGCATGCTGTGTAAGTCGAGGTTGGATTTTATACATGTTTTATCAGTTTTATCTCTCAAACAAGCGAGAATGTTATGTTAACCTAACATTTCGGGGAACTTTCAACTGCGCACTTTGGTCACACTGGTTTTGTTAGCAGTTTCGCCTGAGCTTAACAGATCATCATTAGTAACTAAAAAAAAGAGCTTTAAATTTGCACTTATTATTTAGATATGGATTGGTACGTTGGCACCGAATGGAATGACACAGCACGCGGGCTACATAAGAAGGTGTTGAGCCTTGAGTTTCAGAAAATCGAGAAGCCATTTGCTGTCAGCACCGTCTTGTTCAGCGTAAACAAACCATGCATAAACTTGGGACCCAGACCAAGTAAATACTTGGGCTCCAGTGAGCTACAGGAATACACGTTAGAGATGGGCACTGCTGTAACTCCAATTGATTGCTATTTGGAGCTGTTGTTGCAGCAGTTCATACCTGGCGAATCCTCGGCGTGCAGCATTACAACTAAAACTGGCGAACGTTTGGAATTCGAGCTAAAGCTGCAGCGCATCATTAGCAATAAACAAGTGGAGAAGCTGAACGCAGCGGAAATATATAAACTGGCACTAAGCTACAAGGAGAATGGCGTAGCTATGTTTAAGGAACATCCAAAGTTTGCTTGTGACTATTTCTCACGTGCAGCTAAATTGCTGATTACATACAAACCCTTCGATAAGCTGGACAAAAAGACAAACGGCATCGATGGCAGCCAATTGCAGATATTGTTTGTGCAGATACAAACAAATTTAGCCGCATGCTTTCTGCTGGAAAAGCGTTACGAGCATGTCATATATCAAACACAATTTGTCGAAGAACAGGAGGAGCCGAGCGAGAAAAGCATCTATCGGCGCGCATTGGCCTACTATTACCTGAAGGAGTTCGAAAAGGCTCAGCAGTTGATTGAGCGTGTCCCCAACTACGAGGATAAACGTGAATTTAGTAAATTGCGCGACAACATTGCGGCCAGCTGGAAAAATAGCAATGCCAACTACAAGCAAGTGGTGCAGCGCATGTTTAGCTAGATATAATGCGAATACGAATACTATTTAATAAAACCTAATATTTTGCTTTTATTGCGCTACTTTTCTTTGAACTTCTTTGAGGTTTTATTGTCCATTTTGGCTTTCTTGTTTTTGTACTTCATGCCGGATGGCAGCTTGGATCGTTTACGTGACGAATTGTTGTCAGGTTTAAATAGTTCTGTAAAAATGGATTATTGTCAATACCACATGTGAACGGGATTATAACAACACTCACCTTCGTCTGGCTCCTCGCCAACTTCATCCTTGTAATATTGAGCATCATCGTCGGCATCACTTGCATTTTCCGCATCGTGATTTCGTTTTGCTTCTTTATTTTGCTCTTTTTTCAATTTCAAATTTCGTTCACGATTCTCGTTCTGTTGCTTCTTTCGTTGTTCTTTAAGTTTGCGCTTCTTTTCAATCAATTTACGTAGTGTTTCCTTCTCATCTTCTGTTTTGATGACATGATCGTGATAAAGCACTTCACCGGTCAGCAGACCCTCCTCGATCTTCATGAGCTGCATTGTTAGACGAGGTCCAATTTCATGTAGCTTTACCGAACTTCGGTGGTTCTCCAAGTTACCCTTGCTCTTCAGTGTTTGCGACAGCACCACATGCGATTGTTCGTCTTCATCCACCTCCGCTTCCGAAACATTTCCATCCCTTAAATTGTTTATAGTGATGATTCTGATCGACATTTTAGGCAAGATCACTTACCTGGTAACAAAATCGACTACCTCATCGCATTTGTTCAGGTTTGGCACAGTGCCGCTGACTATTTTTTGTACGGCGCGCTTCAGACCCACCGGCACCACCTGCACCGAATAATGGCGCATTTCCACTAGCTTTGCTTCCGGATTGTACGAGAACAGAACGCAGCGGCGTATTGTATCAATGTTGACCTGAGCCAAATTGATCGATGGAAACATGTTCTGAAATGTTGTGGCCATCAATTTCAAGTGTTTACCCTCGCCGCTGAAATTGTTCATGATGACAAGCGGCGGATGCTTGAAATGATCAACATCAAACATTTGCTTTTTACTACACGAGATGACGTCACGAGCGAGCGTAAACTGATGCACCTGATAAGTAACAGAGAGTATTAACAATGCTGTCCATGGAGGAAGTGAATACCACAAATACAAACCTTGAACGTAAGTGACGGGCCACGCGGCAAGCGCAGCACTTTGAAGGACAGCTGTGTTGAGGCTTTGTTGAAGATGCCCATATGCGAGACATGAAAGAAACTGCTTAAACTAACAAAATCTTTGATACGATTGATTTTCTTTTCCCTCAAATTGGTAGCCGTAAAAGGCTCCATTATGCGACGAAAATCCATTGTCAGATCTGTGATATACGGACATGACAAACCGCGATGTATAATGAAAGAGTGTGGTGCCTCAACAATTTCGCTAGGTTCGCTAGCTTTGAACGCTGCTGTGCGTGTTTTTGGGTGAACCTTCTTTTTAGCACCACCCATCTTTTCTCGTTCTGTTTAACAATTTAAAAAAAAAAGAAAGAACAACTCAACCGCACGTGTCGTACAGATTTTAAAACATTCACCTGACGCACTGACAAGCGTATCGATATATCGATAAGTTTATTCAATCAATTTAGAGTGACCAGACGCTTAGGCGCAATAATTTTAAAACTGCCAGCTGAATTTAAATCCAACTATTGAGGCACACTAATTTTCAGATTAACTTTTTTAATTTTTATTTATTGAATCACATATAAACATATGAAGCACAAAAATAATACCACGACTGCATGTATCGGGATAACATTCACACAACATCTTCGATTCATCGATAGCTTTATACAAGAAATGTAAGTGGTATTTTAAGTATTTCCCACACGCCTTGGCGCGAGAACTTTAAACATATGCCCAGTGTATTTATTATCAAGTATTAATGCACAGTAAGTATAGGCTTGTTTTATTTAAATTATATTTATTTAATCACCCACAACATAGTTAACACAAATGATGATTTTTGCTTTCTATGTTGCCGTTTCTGCATTTAAAGTTTTACAACTGTTTTTATCAGCTAGTGTTTGAAGAATTCATGTGGTCAATGATAAAATTTAAATTTCAATAGATGTAAACATTTCTGCACATGCTAGAACTATTTGAAATTTAATGATTTAAGTTTCACTTTTATTTCATACGTAAAAAAAGGTATTACATTAACCAATAAAAAAAGAGTGCAACGACAAGAGCAGCTCCGACGCTGACAAATCGGATCAGGTTAGGGAATTTTTGGGAATTTAATAATAGACGATAATTAAACAGAGCCAGGTCGAAATTGTCTTCATAATATGCTTGTTAAATATGCCTAATTTTGCTGGAAAACAATGCGGTGCTTAATAGAACATACTTAGCAATGTTTTAGTTGTTTTTGTTTGTTTTTTCTTTGAAAATTACAACTATATATTTATGTTGCGAAAAGTATTAATATTAATATTTTTAATATTAGCATTTATGTATATTTATATAAATTATAGTTACAGCTACAGCTTAAACTGAATTTGGAGTGTTTTAGTGTTTCGCTTTTTCTTTCCTATTTTTTTCTTCAGATGTCGAAGAGCCATTGAATCTTTCTGCAATATATTATTCATTATTCATTTATATATATTCATTCATTTATATATAAAAGTTCAGTTTAAACTGCAGTTAACTACAGCCGGGTGTTGATGTTGCGGTTGGTGTTATTATTATTATTATTTTTATGCATATATGACAAACTGCTTGTGGCTGTGGTTTAAAAAATAACATCTTATGCCGTTGTTGTAGTTGTAATTGTTGTTGCTCTTGCTATTGCTGCTGTTCTGGCTGTTGCTGCGGGGGGCTGCTGCTGCCGCGGCGTATCCTTGGGGCGGTCACTGACAGCACTGCTTACGAACATCAGCTGTGACAGTCGGCTTTACGTCGATGGGCTCCACATTCGAGGGGCGAATGACATCGCCTTCAGGCGGGTCTCTAATTTGTTTCTGCGACACAATGCGATAGATCTCTGTAAGAATTATTTGAATTAACATTATGTTCGTTATTGTACTACTTGAGCATTTCTCACCTGTGAGTATATTTTGGAATGCGGTTTCAACGTTTGTCGAGTCCAGAGCTGATGTTTCTATGAAACTTAAACCGTTGCGCTCCGCAAACAGTTTCGCCTCATCCGTCGGGACCGAGCGCAAGTGCCGCAAATCGGACTTATTGCCCACCAGCATAATAACAATATTCTGATCGGCATGGTCGCGCAGCTCCCGTAGCCATCGCTCTACGTTCTCGTACGTCAAATGCTTGGCAATGTCGTAGACAAGCAGCGCCCCAACAGCACCGCGATAATATGCAGAGGTAATGGCTCTATAACGCTCCTGGCCTGCCGTATCCCAAATTTGCGCCTTAATTGTTTTTCCGTCGACCTAGCGAGGCAGTAGACGGACGACATATTTATTCAATTTGAGCTTTTATAAAATATTCAGCATGGTATTGCTAATAATATAGTGAAATAAATACCGAGATAGTAAGCCGAGATAGAAAATACCCTTGTAAGCATTTGCCTTTTTTATGTGAGAATAAAGAAACTTTTAAGCGTCGAGTTTTAAACAGAATATTCTGCCATATAAGATGCTGTTTTTCCATCTAACTCTCCTATGGAAGCTACATTATATATTGGTCTGATGTTGAATAGATTTGTCATATATATGAGTTATCTAAATAAAAAAAACTATATGATAAAGCGCTCCGATGCAATATATATGAGGAGCATACTGAAACTGATACGATAACAACGATAGCTTCAAACACGGCTATATCAAATCGGCTGTTGATGCTGATCTAGAATATGTATAATTATGGACTCGGACATGTCTCCTTCTATGCGTTACTAATTTTATGACCAAAATATAATACCCTCTACACGGATATTTAAAAAAAAAATAATGAATTGATTAAATTAATAATTGGATGTAGTTTAAAACTATTATGTCTAAATAGTAACATTGCTAATATATCTTAAATATTCAGATATTTTTCATATCGGCTATTTATTGTTTATATCCTTTTCTTGGACAGAGCATCAATATACCCAGTTAAGTGGCCTTTCAGAAAGCATCATCGAATTTTACTGAAAGCCTTCTCTATCCACTTGATGGAAACTCCCACGGTACTCACCTCTATGCTGCGCGTTGCAAACTCCACTCCAATTGTGGACTTGGACTCCAAATTGAATTCATTGCGCGTGAAACGTGACAGCAAATTACTTTTACCGACGCCAGAGTCACCGATAAGCACAACTGCAAAATTTATGGTTTACAAAAATATTAGCAAACAGTAAGAATTAGTTGACGACTCCTGTCTAATAATTGCATAATTCAAGACTGCTCAATAGGTTGGTTGGTTGGTTGGTTGGTTGGTCGGGGCGGGCGCGGGTCATGTCCTCGCACTCAGTTATCGGCAAAATGCGGCGCGTGCCTGAAGGTCAGCAGGCAGGCGCAATAAATTTCTACACTTTCGGGGGATTTCAGTGATGGCCATTAAACCATGCGTTTTATGGCGCCATTCCCTGCCGCCGTTGTCTCCGCGCCAAGCACAACGTAAACGTTTGTGTGTGACTTAAAGGTGTCTTTTAAACAATATATTTATATGCATACAAATACGGTAAAAGCTCTACTAACGGACAGTTTGATTTTCTTTCTATATAAACATACATATACCATATAAATAAAAAAATAAAAAATAAATATAAACTCGATTGTTTTAATTTTTCTTCTTCTGTTGCTGAGATTATTTACATGTTGATAATATATTCGGCGTGCCAGTTACCTCTTATTGTCACGTCTACTAGTTCTACTTTTGACACCTTTTCGTGTTTTGTTTATCTGCTATGCGACAATATTTGCTCTACTCTCTCTCTCTCTCCCGCTCTCACTCTCAAATATGAGCGCCATAAGTGAGGAGTTATCAGCATTGCTTTTGATTGCTTCACAGCTGCTCACGAGTAACGGTGATTCATTAGGTAACTTCTCTCTAACGATCTGCTTTTGTTCTAATACAAATTACATATGTTCCAAGCATGCTAATAATGTTGCTCTCATCATTATAGACATCCATATGTAATTATATATTTAGTAATGAGAACTATTAATTGTGCAATTTAGATTTTGGTCATTGGCATTGGCATTGGCCAGCGATTATGCGTTTATCGCTTTTCTTCTTCTTTTTTTAATTGTTATGAGTCACATTGCAAGCATGTCAAATAATTATTTGATTATGTGCCTGAACAATAGTCAAATTACCGCTGCATATCATCACAAAAAAAAAAAAAAAAATGCTTACGCTTAATGCAATTGCTCGCCCCTTACGATTTTTGTCTTCGACACAATTTAAACGGAGCGGGGCTCCACAATATCAAGAGCAATTGTTAAAGCGTAGTAATGTATACGAAGAACTCTCGCATGCAAACATGAGTAAGAGAAAATTGTGAATTGGTGACCGCAGAATAAGCTCACACACAGACAATTACTTGAAGTTGACAAACAAAGAAATTACATATGTTAGACTGGAAATAGAGCTAGAGAGAGAGAGAGAATTAGTTGCCGGTTCATGAATTAGTTGCCCGCATTCGGTACAAATTTATTTTAGGGTTGAAAAGTGAGCTATTTAACTGAATTTTGTCTGAAGAAAATCAAAATGGTCACACTGTGCAAGCGATAAACACAGGCTTAAACATCCGCTGAGCGTCTACGCAGCTTAATGTAAAGTTACTACAACAATAACTTGAACTGGCGATTGAGAGTGTGGGCAGAGAAAGAAAGAGAGCGAGAGAGAGAGCGACAACAACAAAAGCAGCTCACAGCAGATGTGAGCGAAATAAACATATGCAAAAGAAATTGCGAAAATTCAATACAAAAGCCAATGGCAAGAAAATATAATACACGCTGCTCTTTAAAAATACAAATATACATACCTATATATACGTGAATACATACTTTCTCGGGTATTAATATACTGAAAATCTAATCAACGTAATAACAATTACTATATGCCTTTTATCACGATTATTATTACGATTTATGCAACGTGTCATGCTGGCTGCTGGCAGCAGAAGCGAAGAACGAACGGCAATGGAAACACAATGACAAACTGACAGCAGTTAACGGCAAAGTAGTTACGGGTGTGTATGGAGCAAAGAAGGGGGCGGAGGGACCTCTTGTCAGCGAGTAAAGAGAGCACGAGAAAGCAAAGGGCATATAAATCCAACACAATTTTAAGCTTGTACAGAATGCAATAAAACAACGCCAGGGGGCGTATTTTGTGATATTGCTTTGAAAATTTCACCAAATATTGCGATCAGAGACCATTTAAAAACAAATTGATACGCATATATACGTATGACAACCATGTCTGCATTGGTTATGCCAATTAGTTTCAATTAGTGCCATTGAACGGATAAGCGCAAGTCAAGCTTTGCTCCTGTTTAAAATTCCCACGTCCCACAACCAGTCCAACCAGTCGCCGGCTAGCTGATAATTAATTGCAAGGGCTATGGCTGCACGCACGAAAACTAAAATTCACGTTCATAATTTACCTTTGAAAAGATAATCGTATTCGTCTTCCCTTGCACCCATTTTGTTGTGTTTTTAAATGTTTTGGTCCTCCTACTCCAACCGATTGGGATGCCTGTGTGTCTGTGTTAGGTAAAATCCAATAATCCTTGCGCGCCGCCGTTCTTAATGCGTTTTTCTATTCTTTTTTTTTCGTGTATTATGCTCTCACACTTTGTACACTTTTATTTGTAGTTGTAATCGGGACAATATAAAAAGAAAGAAAAATTATATCAATTCGATTGCAAATGGGCGTTGTTTGATAGTAATTTTTGGTTCCACCCAAGGCAGCCTTTGTGCGACAGTTAGTCCAATAACAGTTTGCCACTTTCTGTGGCTTTTTTATGTATTTATTTATAATTTTCTTACTCGCGACACACACTCACTTAGACTTAGTCACTCCCAATATATTCAACGACGTGAAGTAGGCTGCGGCATGTATGGCAATACAACTGACAGCTACAAGTACTCGATACCCATAACTCTAGTTGGAACGCCATGTTGATGACGTCACTGTTGTCCATAATCGTTACAATTTAAAAGTACAACTGATAATTATAACACTTGGAAAACCCAATTTCTTTACATAATATATACATGTTTTATATTTTTGCTTAAAACATTTCAAGAATAGGCGGTAGAAAAAGAGTATATTAAGTATATAGTGCAAGTAATACTAGCGGTTGCTGATTGTTCTGTAGAAAAAAAATATAAAACTTTGTTCTTATTGTACTAAAAGCACTTTGAAACACGTTCATATACGCGCACGTTGCAAAGCTAATGCTGGATAGAAAAGCAGGAGTCCACCAGCAATGTATGTGATTTTCGAGCCCAAACACCAAAACGCTAAAAACAAATATAGCTTTAAAAGGAATTGAAATCGAATGCCTTATAAGACTCACCTATAGAGCCCACAACTGGACCCAAAGCACGTGCCAAAGCACCCAGCGAACGGAATATACCTAATACTGAACCCTTTTGATCATCGTTGCCGTACTTGGACACCAAAGTGGTCAGACAGGTAACGGCAAAAGCGGTGGAGATTGCAAATAATATCATGCCCGCATAGAGCATACGGCTAGTCTGCGCCAGGCCAACTAAGACAAATGCTGGCACGATTAAATATAGACTGAATATGGCATAACTCTTGATCTTCGCTTCCGGCAGACGACGCACCACCGAACCCTGCAGCAGGGTCATGACGAGGCCCGTAGTCAAAAACATTTTGGCCTGATCCATTGAACTGTAACCAAACTTATGGTACATCAGAAAGGTAACTGTGAATTCCAAGCCCGAATATAGGAAAAGATAAAGAAAATAAATTAATCCAATGGTTCGTAGCGCCTGCGTATCCTTTCTAGGCACATTTTTGATGGCGGCAAATCTGTAAAAATGAAATTAACAATTAAATATTGTGTTCAATCAAAAGTGAAAACATTTGAAGTGCAGTTCGACAAACAGATTCACTCAAGCTCAATATTAAATGTAATCCAAGAACAAATTTGTTTGCCCAGGCAGGATATTGCACGCGTTCGTTTGGAAATAATATTAATAGCGTGGGTAATCGAAATAAAATCAAGATTATGCGTAAAGCGGTCAAGTGATTGTTTAATCATACAAATATTTCCAATTAGACGAAACGAACGATTGATAAGGCAAATCAAATAAGCCCCAGGTAAAACGTGCCCATGTGGGCGAAAAGATATCGACGCCGGCGGCAACAGCTAGAAAACTTGACTTGCTAATTAAATCAAAAATAGAAAAAACTTACTTAAATATAGAAGAGACGTTGAGCAATTGCAGACCGTATGACAGCGCAGACGAAATTTCACGAGCGCGTTTGGCCTGCAAAGGGTGGAAAAAAGGACAGAAATGAGACAGCATTTGAATTTTCCAAGTGTCCTAGTACGCACCTGAGGTAAAGTTTCACGTAAGCAGATCGCCAGGAGAAGCACATCGCCCAGCGCCAAGCCCAGTGCCAGCAGAGAGGGCAAAACAAACCAGGCGCCTCCACTGGCACTTTTATCCGAAAATATGGCAAACATGGCGCCAATCATGGGACCCACAATAAAACCCAGCGAGAAGGCAACGCCAACTAGCGCCATGCCGCGTCCGCGTGTCCGTACGCTGGACACATCCGTGATGACGCTCATACAGAGCGAAATGTTGCCCTTGCTGATGCCGCCCACGACGCGTGCCAGCACAAATAGGGCAAAATTGCTGGAGCATGCCCAGATAAGATAGGATAGCGCGATGCCAAACTGCAATTGAAGGGTTTAATGATTGACAGTTGCGTCTCTTATGTGCAACGGACCAACTTACAGCGCAAATCAACAAAACGGGCCTGCGTCCATAGTAGTCCGAGAGGCTTCCCACAATGGGACTGGCCAGGAATTGTAGAAAACTAAACATAGATCCCAGAAAGCCGCCAAATAGCACCGATAAATACCGATCCGGTGCACCCAGAAGCTGCTGGAACCAACGCACGCGCGTCGTAAGCCAGGCATACAGGCCGGAACTATCATTTACGCGATAATATTCCAAGAGCGATGGCAACAAAGGCAAAATGATGGTAAACGCCAGCAAATCGAATAGCAGTGATACAAATATAATATATATCATGGGATCACTTTTCTCCTTGGGCACAGCAGGTTTCCCATTGTTGTTATCGTTGCTGCTGTTTCCCAACTGCTGTTCCGTTTCCGGTATTCTTGTATTCTCCCGATTCCGTAAAGTAGTCATGTTGTTGTTGTTGTTGTTGTTTTTGTTGTAGGCGCCCAATTGCGTGCGTGTACATAAATTTGTTGTCTTATTGCGGGAGCTGATGACACGACGACGACCGCATAACTGTTTGTGCGCCCAACAACTTGGCCCAAACAAAAAGCGGTACTCCAAGTAAGCCGCTAAGAAGCAGCCGAAGTGAAAGTTGAATATTAGGATCAAGCAACGTTCAGACTGTCTGATGAGCATTTGAATATGTGTATGCGATGTTGCTTATAACAGCATGATTACACTAATGCTTGTATAGTTAAATAAATAAATAAATGTAGGTTTCCCCAATAGAAATCAACGGCATTTAGCTGTGGCATAACAATTTGTTGTCGTCACTTTAATCCGCAATGCTTGGAACTGACCCCTAAATAGCAGCAACAGGTTGTTTCCGTATCGTTCCGTGTGTGTGCCCTTACGTAGTTTGTTACCAGAACTATCTACTCGTTTTGGTCCGTGCTGCAAAACGTTCACACACAGCTGTGCGAAGCGCATTGATCAACACTCAAACAACCGCAAATGACAAAAACCTGGCTGAACATTGAAAAAATACAATAAATAAACTAAGAATAAGTGCAAATCATGTCTAAAGTCACGGTACAGGATATAGAGGCCGTAGATGATTATTGGGGTCCCACATTCCGCTCAATACTCGAGGGTAAATTTTGTTTTTATAGTCGTGCACTTCATAATTTCCATTGACGCCCACCTTACCCGCAGGCAACAATAGCAAATTAATCAGCGAACAGCTGGACCAACGCGTACGCAGCCACGACAAAGAGATCGAACGCATATGCAATCTGTATTATCAGGGCTTTATTGACTCCATACAGGAACTTCTGCAGGTCCGAACGCAGGCCAAGCAGCTGCACGATGAAGTCCACTCGCTGGACACATCGCTGCGCACCATTAGCGCCTCCCTCATTCAGCAGGGCAATGAGCTGGTACGTGCCCGTCAAATCGAATCGAATGTAGCCAGCGCCATTGAGGCGCTTAAATCCTGTCTGCCCGCCTTAGAGTGTTATATGAAATTCACGCAGCAGGCGAAAAACAAGCAATACTATCAGGCACTGCGCACGCTGGAAACTCTTGAGACGGAGCACCTGTCGCGACTGCAGCGGCACAACTATCGATTTGCAACACAAATGCAAACACAGATACCCATCATAAAGGAGAACATACGCCGCTCAGCGGCAGCCGATTTTCGTGAGTTTTTGGAAAACATACGTAAATTTTCTCCTCGGATTGGTGAACTGGCCATTACGCACACCAAACAGTTGCAGAAACGAGATATCAATGCCATTATACAAGAACACAAACAGCAGGCCAATAGCGGCATTGACGGTGGCAACGACGATGATGGAGGCAATGTAAGCGCACAGGATTTAATCGATTTTTCACCCATTTATCGCTGCCTCCACATCTACATGGTGCTGGGCCAACGGGAGTACTTTGAGAAGGACTATCGCCAGCAGCGGCGTGATCAGTCTAAACTGGTGCTGCAACCACCGCCGAATATGCACGATAATTTGGAAGCCTACAAGACGTACATATGCGCAATTGTGGGATTTTTTGTGGTTGAGGATCATGTGAAAAACACCGCAGGCGAAGTGGTCACGAACAGCTACCTTGAAGAGCTGTGGTCTACTTCGCTAACCAAGTTTGTCAATGAGATCAGCATGAGCTCCTCCTCCTGCACCGACCCAAATATCCTATTGCGCATCAAGAACCTCATTATGCTGTCCATCAACACCTTTAAGTGCTATGGCTACACGGTGCAAATTCTGTGGGAGCTGCTGCACGATATGCGTGATCATTACAATGAGGTAAGTCCAGAAGATGTCTCCTACGGCTACTTGAATTATCTTTTTATAGGTTCTCTTGCAACGCTGGGTTCATGTATTCCGTGAGATTCTGGACAAGGAGCAATTTGTGCCCATGGTGGTGGAGAATGTGGAGGAGTATGAGTGCATCATCGAGCGCTTTCCCTTCCATTCTGAACAGCTGGAGAATGCACCATTTCCCAAACAGTTTCCCTTCTCACGCATGGTGCCGGAGGTGTATCATCAGGCCAAGGAGTTTATGTATGCCTGCATGAAGTTCGCAGAGGAGCTGACACTCTCGCCCAACGAGGTGGCTGCCATGGTACGCAAAGCGGCCAATCTGCTGCTCACGCGCAGCTTTAGTGGCTGTCTCTCAGTGGTCTTCCGCCAGCCAAACATTACGCTCATTCAGCTTATACAGATCATCATTGATACGCAATATTTGGACAAGGCTGGTCCTTTTCTGGATGAGTTTGTCTGCCACATGACCAATACAGAGCGAAGCATTTCGCAAACGCCCTCGGCCATGTTTCATGTGGCACGCCAGGATGCCGAGAAGCAGGTAGCAGTACGGATATGCTCTAAAATTGACGAGTTCTTTGAGCTGAGCGCCTATGACTGGCTGCTGGTAGAGCCACCGGGTATTGCCTCTGCTTTCATCACGGACATGATCTCCTATTTGAAGAGCACCTTCGATAACTTCTCTTACAAGCTGCCACACATAGCCCAGGCCGCCTGTCGTCGCACCTGCGAGCACATTGCCGAAAAGATCTACTCTATATTGTATGACGAGGAGGTCAAGCAGATCTCCACGGGCGCACTGACCCAAATCAATTTAGACTTGATGCAGTGCGAATTCTTTGCCGCCTCGGAGCCAGTGCCGGGCTTGCATGATGGCGAGCTGAGCAAATATTTTCAGCGTAATCGTCAGCTGCTTGATTTGCTTATACTGGAGGAGTGGAGCACGTATTTCCATGACTATGGCAAGCAGGAGAATCGCTATCATCTGGTGCAGCCGCAGTCTATTATTGTTATACTGGAGAAAATACGCGAGGCGGACAAGAAGCCAATTTTCTCGCTGGTGCGCAAAAATGATAAGAAAAAGCTGCTGGAGACGGTTCTCAAGCAGCTGAAGCACATAGCCGAACGGCAGAGTTAGGATGCGACTTTATAAACTTTATAGATCTGGTTAATAGAACAGACCTGGCTTAATAAGGTAGTTTTTATTCTTGTGGAATTTAATTCAAGAGCATCACGCGATAACTTTAAATTGAGCAAACTATCGAAAAATATGAAATAACGCCCAAATAAAATGAGATGTTCCAAAAACTTAAAACTTTAACGAATTTAAAAGTCAATTGTAAATGTAACTTTTATATTGTTATATAGAAATTTAATTAGATTTCTATCATGTTTCGAAGTGTTCTTTTATATTATAATTTCAAACTTATATGTCAACTATAGAATATATTTATGTATATTCTTTAATACGATTAACTACATTTTTCGTTATTGCATTGATTGCTCTATTTATATCAAATTTAAGCACAGTTTTTTTTTTTTAACTATTTCATTTGGGATTGCGCGTTATTTCACTATTTAGAGAACTGGATTCACTGCATAGTTATTTCCTTTTGCTTCATGGAAGTTTTTGTAGCTTGAATATATGAATTCTACTTAAATGTTGTAAAATTGTATTTGGAATTTTGAATTTCATATCTATGTACAGAAAAGCGTATTATAAAAGTTCAGCTACAAAATTAAATTAGGAAACAAAACACACAAACATAAGAAAACGAAAGCAAGAGATAATAACAAATTGTATATATAATATGTAATATGTATGATGTTTACGTTTGTGTGTGAGTGTGTCTATATATATATAAATATATATATATATGTATACCAGCAAAAGTAGTAAACACTAATTTCTATTTTACGTATCGTATATGCATCATTCCGGATTGCTTTTGTCAACTCTTCGTCTCCAGATGCTTGGGCGCGTCCGCATATGTGAATTTCAAGCGAAACGCCTCAGCAAGCAGCACATTTATTTGGCGATCGGACCAATTATGCGTTGGCAGATTTTGTAGCAGCAACATGAGACCCTATAAAAAAATAATATAAAAATATTAAATTCCAGAATAATCAGTTGTTTCTTTGGGATGTTACTTTTGCAGAGCGGTTTGGACAACAGAAAATCAAATATTTTTATCGATTTTGAGCTCTAACATATAAATAATATAATCTATTTTGAACAAGCTTAATCTTATGAAAACTTGGACTTAACTAGCTTAAAAGAAATCAGGTCTTCGAAAAAAACATATTTGTTTACTCGTGAAACTCGACAAATGATTAAAATCAATCGAAAACTGTAAAAATGCTAACTTTATATCTCATGGAGTCTGAGCTGTTAAATATTTCGTAATGTGATTATGATAGGCTTCCATGGATGTGTCTTAGTTACCTGAAAGTCATTCTGTTGCATCAGCTGTTCCTTCCAGTGCAGCAGAAAGGCCGCACACACATACAGGTGGAAGAGCGCAAATCCATCGGACTCGGCCAGATATGTGTCCCACAGTCGAATTGTGCAGTGCAGGGGCAGTTCGCGTGTCAGTAAATTGTTCATCCAACGAAATGAGAATTGTAAATAATCAACACCATGTGTCTGTAGATGACGATGCAGATTGACTGTAAAAATGGGCGAAACAAATTACAAATATTTTTGATTTTCACATATATATATATATACATCAAAGGGGTAATTAGGCTTTACGCAGAACTACTGTTAAAGTTAAAGTCATTTCTATATATATATATATATATATCTGTGCAAAATGGATCTATAATTACTGGCTGCTAAACGATATCTGTTTGCTCATTATACGCTTTCAGAGGGTATAATAGATATGTCACGATATTGTAATAAATCTATATATATATATATATATAGTATGTTCTTGATCTCTCCTGGTCCCTCAGTGCTAAGGCCATATTAATGAAAATGTACAGATCGAAACACCATAACAGAAAGTTGTCATAGAAAGTATCGATCGGACACAAGGTTTTAGGTATTAGAACATGCATTGTTTGTTAACCAAAGAAGGCTTCTTGCTATGATATAATAGGGCTTACCATCAATACGTTGTATTAGATCCTTGAGTTGATTCACCTTCTCTTGTATGCCCAGTTGAGCGAATATGTAATTATCCTGTATGCAGTCGAGAAACTTAGAAAGGCACCAAAACGAATCGGCTTCAATAATATTGCGTGTCTCCTCTGGCAACTGTGACATGTTGTATTTCTCAAGATCTGTGTCTGGCGAGAGGGCTTCCTGCAGAAAGACTATGAAGAAAGGCGTAACCAGATCATTGATGCCTTGCACATAGCCCGAGGCTGGATGGCGTATGGCCCAAATGAAGAGTATACGCTCGAACATTTCCTGGACGAGCTGCTGCTGGAAGAGCGGTATTTGTGGATTCATGCGCGGTACATCGATATGTATCTGACGATAGGTGTCCTGCTGCGTCTCATCCTGACTATCCACTTTAAAATAGTTGTGTCGCAGATCCTGGTAGCCCTGACGTTTGCTCTGCAGCACCGCATTTCTCCGCTCGCCCGAAGGCGGCAAGTACTTCGATAGCAAGCGCCAACTGACAGCGCGCATCTGCAAGCAGAAATAAATTCTAATTGTATTCTGTGCCCTGTTTGACCACATACCTTTCGCGGCACACCCGACCAACTGAGTTTTTTGAGCGCCACCAAATCGAGCTGCGGTGAGTCGAGCAGCAATTGGAATTTCTCAATCTTCGTCTCATATTCACCATCCTGAGAGTTGCTGCTAATCTTCTGCAGCTGCGGTCGTCCCGGATAGTTACGCAAGCGAGATCTACAAGAAGTATAATGATAATTCAATGCAATAAAGACCAAGCCTGAACCGAATATATATTTAAAACTGTTTAAGTTCAAAAAAATCGTTTCGTGAAAGATTGGTTTAAATAGAAATTTCCCTTCGGAATTGTTTGCATATCCGCTGTTTACACAACTGAAAACAGCCGTTGACCCTTTCCCGCCTCACCTGTTTTCGTTGTTGTCATGCGATGTTCTGCGATCCTCCTTGATGTCTTCCGCATAGCTCGCGCCGCCTGCTATCAGATCCGCGTTGCTAACATTCGTGTCGGTCGCCTCGCTGGTTGTGACGTGGTTTTGATTGCTGCGAGAATGCGTTTCGATGACGTTTAGCGCCACCGTTTGTGACACCTGCCTCGATATGCGTGTGGCATCTGAAAAATTAACGCCAAATTCTATGTAAACCCGTCGTCTAATTTCAATTTTGTTTGTGGTTCACCCCCAACTGCTGCGGCAGCTGCTGCCTCGGTGCTGCTTATGATGCAGAATTCATCGTCACCCGTGTCCCAGGCATCGCTCACCGACTGCTGATAGTCACGAAAGGTGGACACCATGCCGCCAACGTTGCCACGATCACGCTGCACCACAGTCCCGGCGCCCGACTTGCTGTTTGTGTTGTCGAGAAAATCGCGTTTTGGACTGGGCCGTCCGGGCACAGCACGGCCGCTGTTCTTCCAAAACGATGTTGAATTTCTCAAAATGCTAGTTGGTGACTTGGCTCCAATTGCTACACTATGTGTGGCCGCGATTAATTCGCTTGTGTTTGCGGTTGTCGGTGCAATTTTTGATTTTTCTTCAGTTTGCCCTACATTATTGTCCATAATAAATATCGAAGTCCGATGTCAGTGTCAGCGTCATTGCATTTGTAACGGTGTGACCAACTAGGTGCAAGGAAATAAATATTGCTTTAACCGCATACTGTTTGTTGGATGCGCCTTTAGCAAGTGGGCAGCAATGTAAAAATGGCAAACGTTGCTTTATAAAAAATAAACTAAAGCAAATAATAGCCAAATAACAAAACAGAAAAATGACATCTTTAAACTTTATCTTGTGCTTACCTATAACGTATCCCTAGATTGTAGTGATTTTTAGTATTTTTTATTTAAGCTTCTGTTTAATATAAGTAGCAAACGTATAAGATGGAGTGCTATATATTTTACACGCTAATTAATCAATAATAATTATAATATTAAATGTCGCCGGTTAGGCACTTCTAGCAATATGACATCAGCGATTTTGCCTCTATTGTCACTTATCGTGTAATCGTAAGTAACAGGTACTTATGTTTATTTATAAGCGTGTGCAATTCGGTCACACTGAAATTAAAACGAGTATTATTGTGTGTGATAAGGAGGCAAATTTCATTATTCTTTGTAAAATTGCGTACCAAATTATGTGCCTAAAAACCCAACAGTCAAAATAGTCCCAGCCGAAAGATGCAAAAGCAAGAGGAGATCACAACGCGCCTAAAGAAGATCTTCGACTTATTTCTGCGCGACAACTTTTCCACTACCGACAGTGTTTACTTTGAAAAGCTTATAACGCACCTGCAGGCGAAGGGCAAGTATATGAAATGTGTGCAACAGGCGGCATTTTTAACTTTATTTCTCTTTAGAAAATGCTTTTGTGCTGCAGGCGCCCTTCGTCACGGATTGGGTGAACAAATGCCTGACTCTAATCAGCGATGATTTTCATAAAGTGCACCCCAAGGTGATATCTTTCATGCTGAATCTGATCAGCTTTATGACGTCCAATGAGTGGATGGTGCTACGGCTGCGTGAGCTGGATATTATGCATAGGTAATAGCTAATTTACAGCCACAACTTTGTTGACCACATTGTACATTTCAGGGTTGTGTTCTTTATGCAGGCGCAAGAGCGCAACTTTAGTCCCTCAATTAAACTAAGCGGCATACGCGTTATGAAGGCCGTTACCAAATACAGCATGGGTCTGGCATTTCTGCAACTGCAACGGTCCTGGACGCTGCTCATCCACTATAGCAACAACGAGCACACATTGTACGTGGTGCGTGAGGCACGTCAGTTGCTCTACGAGATGCTCTATAAATTCTGCGACAAGATGCATGATGAGGCTGTCACCCTGGAGATTCTATCAGAGATTATGAAGCCCATACACGATAATGTGTACATAACAGATAATATCAGTGATAATACCAGCGGGGAGGAGGAGCGTATACATGTCAGTGTGGATGATAATGAGCTGCTGCACAAGATTTCTTCAACGGTGGATCTGCTCAGCTATATACTACAGCAGACGCTGGTCAGCGAGGAACGTACAAAAATTGTCTCGCTGTTGCGAGAGCACCACAACCTTGACCTAAATATCTGGAAATTAGTCGAGATGACGCATAATACGTACTACATAGAGAAGATGCTTAGCACACTCTGCAGTTATCACTTTGCAACGCTGGTTCATGAGAAAATACTGAATCCAGATTGTGTAGAGCCTCCGGAGCAGTTCACCGAGTTTGGACTGTCGTTTTTTAATCTCATGAAATTCTGTATACAACGCAGTGATGGAATTACTTTTATCAAAATGGCTGAACTGCATCACATACTGTGGAAGAAGCTGGGCACACGAGTACCTAAGGAAATCGTCATACAGGACCAGCGTGTTTCATTTGAAAATCAGTTAATTTGCTTTCACATGATGCCGCTACTCTTCTCCATGAAGTTTGCCATGAAAATGGCCGATGAGTCAAAGAGCGAACTCTTTGATACATACATCATGAAACTCCTTGAAATGTCCTGCGAGCAAACGTTGCGTTTGTGCTATAGCTTGCGCGATGCTTTTATCACACCAGAGGGTCATACCAATGGCGGATTGTTCACACCGGAATTGGCCCGGAAATGTGTGCACAGTATACTCTCATTGGAGCATGTACTGGACCGCGAGCAAGCTGTCACCGTCTGCCAGGCGCTGCTCTATGCATTGCGTGAGGTTGTCGCATTCAATCATTCCAGCAACCACAATGAACCCGAGGATTGCCATGGCGCGAGCACCTCCAGTAACTACTCTGATATATATCCACGTGGCTCTGAAGCCATCATCAAGGATCCAAAAGTTTTACATTCGGTTATGGTTGGTCTGCGCACGCTCATCGAGCGCTTTAAGATTACATGGAAGGAATCCGTGGAGACAATTGGTCTGGTCAACTGCTTGGCTTTTGTGCTAGAAAACTGCAACTTGGATCCGACTGTAGGTAGCTCAAGAACCTAAAACAAACCCAACTTAATATCTCGTTAACTTTCAGTGCACCGTAGAGGCCCTAAAATTGGTTCAATTGGCTGTGGAGCACTTTTTGTCACCCAATATGGCGCTGCTTGTGGATAACCTACAGGGCTCGGCTTTGGTTTGCCTGGGTCCCATCATTGTCAAACGCATGCACGACACCGCTTGGGAAGTGCGTGATTCCGCCTTGGAGCTGACAACATCCATAGCCTGCATCTCTCGCATAAGTAAGATGACTTTGCTGCTTTTGCATAACGCAAATTGAATGTAATTTATTTGTTTTGCATATTTTTCAGAGTTTCCCGCATTCCAACAGTTTCTTATTGACGGCAAAATGCCACCAATTGTTTATGAAATGGCCAAGCATGATAGCGAACCATATGTGCGCGCCTCCGCCTACAAATGTCTATCAAAAATGGTGCCCATCAATGCGTTGTGGGAAAATGGACTCAGCCAATTGGATTTAGTGGTATTATATTATAGTGTATATATAATTTGTCACATTAATAACTGTATTTGCATTTCAGGATCATCTGCTATACGTGCTGTATCGCGAAAATGATGATATTGTACGCGCCGAGGCCATACTAACCCTGTCCAAGATCTACGATCACCGTAAGATACCATGCAAGTATAAGAATACGTTATTCTCAACGCTCAACTATTGCGTCGTGGGCGATCATCACTGGGAGGTGAAGGTGAACGCGCTGTGCTTTTGGCGCATGGAGTTTAATCGTCAGTTCAATAATCAAGGCATGATTGATGGCGCCTTTCCCACCGTCACATTTTCCAAGGAACACAAAAAAATTGTTACACTGACAGGACGTGAGGTGAAGCTGCGTGTAGCGAAAGTCTTGGCGGAGGTGCAGCAATATGGCTACTATGGTATTATACTTAAGTGTCTGCGAGAGGAATATTCCAAGGAGGTGCTAAAGCTGATTGTGACCGGCATAAAAGCAATGAATGATAAGGTGAATGAATATGACTTTGAAATCATATTAAATAATATTGAAACGCTGACGCCGCCCGTACAAAGTTCAAACTGCAACTTTCCATTTACGCCCGAGGAGCCCATGTCTGTTGAACCCGTCGTGGACGATGCTGCAGTAAATGCGGAGCAGGCAGATGATGTTATCGAATCTATATTGAACGCTCAGGATGTGCAGCTATTGGAAAATACATTTAAAACGCAAATGCATATCAATAATGAGGATACCGAGAAGCGACATATTGATGAGTTCTATTATAAGCAATTTGCCGTTTCTGTGCGCGAATGGAAGGAGGAAATCGGTAAATTTGACTTGGATAAGCTAGTGAAACAGCAGGACGAGTGGTTTGATTGCAACGATAATTTGGTTTGTCTGCTGGATGACATACTAAATGCGATAAAACGAGATGATAATATGATTTCCGATTGTTATTAATTAAGTTAATGCTTTGTAATGCTTAATTTTTTAGGCAAAAATTGTTTCCCCAAAAATAAATCTATTTTCACATTTACTGGGATTTAAAATTTGGCGCCATTGATGACATCGATATATTGCCGTAATGATGACACGATGAAATATGTTCACATGGCATAACAGAGAGCTAACAGCTCATTTGAGTAAAGTGCGTCAACAATTTATGTGAATAACATATTGATAGAAATAAGATTAAAATTTATTGGCCTGAGCTAAAGAAGATATATTTTGATTGATGGATATGGCGATATATATGATATATTTTGAATTTATCTATCAATAGGAACTTCGTAATAAAATGCGATTGCTATTGCAATTCATTTGCTGATTGTATGCTTCGTCCAGAGTCCGATGTCTTGAATTGCAACCTTGTGCAACACACTTCCATCACTAATTCCAGTATTTTCAGCATGTCATAATCCGGTCACACTCTTTGACAGACTGTTAGTCATGGTGGAAAATTTGAGAAGAGCGTACATATGCGCAAGAATAAGCTAAGAAGAAAAAGTTGAATATTGATTAAAATTTCTGCAAAAAAATATATATATGTAATTATATATTGTAAATGTCTTTAATTTAAGTGATATAAATCAAATATTTGTGTAACGTTTAATATTTTAATACGCGTCAAAGTACAACGAGTGAAGCTAATCGCACACAAAGAAAAACGAGAAGCAAAAGCACCAACTACAATAAAAAAAAAAAAAAAATTAACGCAAAAGCAAAACTTTTCTTGTGTGGCACAACTATTGGATTGCGATTGCCCATGGTCGTCGTGTACTTTGCGAAAATAAAACACTAAATTCTAAAGAAAACAACGTTAAGCAAAACCGAATCAGAATCAGTTAAAAGTGTGATTTTTTTGAGCCTTTGTCTGTAAGTGAGAGGAGAAAGCTTTAAGCGGAATCCCTTTAAGCAAACATCCCGTCGCCATTTTGAAAGTGATTTTACATACATACAAATACAAATATATATACGTACACACATACACACATATAACCATTAAAAAAAATCGACAACAAAAACAATTCACAATTCCCCCTATAGAATACCTATCACAAAAAACAAATTTAATTGAACTGGCAACAGTGAAAACAAGGCAACTCTTAAATATAAATGCAAATAATTTGTAATAATCAGTATAACAAAAGTGGCAAAGAAAAAACCCCCCGTAGCTGCAAAGCAATCAATAACTGCGACACACATACAGTCGTCTTTTTCACTCCCGTACCGCGTCACCAAAGCAGCGAGTGTGCGAGCGAGCCAGACTGCAGCAACAACAACAATATTGGTGTGAAAAGGTTTACAACTCAAAGTAAGTCGCAATTGTATTAGTAAATTGTACGCGTGTTGCATATGTTGATTCATTGATACACGTTTGACGTCGTTGCATTGTCGTCAAATGTTATATTTTATAGACAATCTGCAATAAAAATTACGTACGAGCGTGTATAGCTAAACGAAAAATGCGTTTTATTTTTTTTGTTTATTTTTCGACATAATTGAGGTTGCCACACTAACTGTTAGAAAATTACCAACTCGTGTGCTTATTTTGTAAGTGGCAACCATGGACGTAAATAGAACATACACGATATATACACGCATACATGTACATGCTTATAAAATGCGGGTCGCAGCAAGTTTGAATGCATTAACGTATTCGTATGTATGCGTGTTGTTTTTTTTTTATTTTTCTTTTCTTTTTTTATGTACATATTTGTCTGCGTACTCGTTACGTTACTTGTTTTTTGCTCAACATTCTTGTTTTCGTTTGTTTTTCTTTCCATTTTCACCTACGTCAATGAACAGGACCCGGGAGCCCGGCTTGGATGTCAGCTACGACGATAAGGCAAGAGAAAAAAGCACGAGTAAGAAAGAGTTTGGAAAATTAGCGCTAAGAAGGATAGCCTAACAAAACAGAGATAAATCAACAGACTGATAAACAATACATAAAGTTAAACTATATAAAGTATATAACTAAAACTGTACATACAAAACGAGACGCAAACCGAACGCAGCTACAACAACAAGAAGAAGACGAATAAAATTAGGAACTACGTGAGCAGCCGCCCGTTATCCGCTACTGTGAGATTGAGCGATAAGAGTAGGAGACGAAGAGAGTCCGGTAACATTGTCACAGTGAAGCAATTAGACGTGGACAACGGTAACGGAGAGAGAGAGAGGTGAGGAGCACAGGCAGCGACGTAGTAGCAGCTTCGCGTTTGATATCGATAAATAAATAAACAAAACAAAAATATTGATTTTAAGTGCGTGTGATATTTAACGTTAAGCATTAATTTAGCGAATAACCAAAAACAAAAAAGGCAAAAAAGCAGAAATTTTAACAAATAATCGAGCGAAAAGAGAGAGAGAGAGAGAGAGAGCGAGAGAGGGAGTAAGAGCGAGAGTGCGCTTTGGGTAAAGCTCAGTTTATATTGAAGAAACAACAGCATCAGCAACAGTGTTGGAAAAGCTTTTGACAGTGAAAGCAACGGAAAACAAGAAATTACTATGACATACTCGCACAATAGTGTTAGAAACAACATTAAAATGACAACAGCATCAGCAGCAAAGTCCATACGCTTGAAAAAGGGCGCCACAACCCCACCACCGGCAACAACAACAACAGCAACAACAACCACAACATCAATAGAAACCGCAACACCTACGGTAACTGCACATTCCAACAGTATTGCCAGCAGTACAAACTTCAACAATCAGCACTTCCATCAGCAAGCTTTAAGCACATCACCCACCCACTGCGCCCCCACCACGCCCAACAATCGCATGCAGCAGCAGCAGCAACAACAACGTCTGCAGAGCCAATCCGCTGGCGCCAATCAGCGTAGCCGCCAGCAGCGTCAGTCGCCACAGCAGGCCGCCATCGGAGGCGGCGGCGGCGGTTTCTTCTTTGCGAATAACAGCAGGCGCAACGGCGGCGGCGGCGGTGGTCGTTCGCCTCAGTCGGCGGCAGCAGCAGCAGGAACAACAACAAGCAGCAGCAGTTTGGTACGCCAATCGCCGGCTACCATTTTGGGCGGCGGCTTTTCGCCGTCTGCGTTTGGCTCGGCACGCAAGCAACGCCGCAGTCCAACAACAACAACACCTTGCTTTGGTGTGGGCGGCAAAATATCGCCACAGCATCCACTGATACCCACCGCCTTGACGCATTTTGCTGGCAGCAAGTGTTTTGATGCACCGGCACCAACGGCACTGCCCAAGCCGCCGCAACACTGGACGCTATCCAAGTCCGAGGAGAAATTGGTGGCCAGCAGTGCTGGTCCCGCCTTGCAGAGCCTGTTGCGCGGCGACAGATGCAGCGCGTCCAAATTGGGCCTGAACGGCGGCGGCGGCGGCGGCGGCGGCTACGTGGTTAAATCATCCAAGCGCAATCTTCTGGATGAGTTTGATACGCACAATCTGAAGCTCTTGCTGAACGTGCAGTCGTAACGCAGGAACAACAAACGCAGCGAAATGGCAACCACAATAAACTGAACATGGAGGACCCAACACGGATGACCGTCAATGACTTGCAAATTAAAGAGGAAAAAATGAAAGAAAGAAAAAAAAAACTACAAAAAAAAAAATCAAAAATATAAAAATTGTAAAAGCTACACTACAAAAAAAAAAAACCAAAAAAAAAAAAAAAACACAAATCATTTAAACTGAAAATTTGAACTTTTTTAAACTAAAAAAAAAAAACAATAATAAAAAACAAAAAAACGATGAGTAATGTTTGTGATCTCAAATGTATCATAAAACAGCAACAACAAATTGAGAAGCTAAATAAGAAAAAAGAAAAAAAAAAACCTAAAAAAAATTGCAAAATTTAAAAGGAAGGTAAACAAATGGAAAACAACAACGACAAAAGATACACAACAAAAAAGATGCAAAATTCCCCGTTGGCAACAGCTACAACAACAACAACAACAACAACAGCAGCAGCAGCTACACCCAGCAACAAAATTCAGCTCTTAACTTCAATATGCAAACTTTGAAAGGCCAATCGACAATTAAACAAGAAACAACAACAACAACAACAACCTTAACCTACAAACAAATAAAATAGAAATGATTTACGGACGCTTGGCTAGTAGGAATTTTGTATAACTGCAAGACGAGGAGTGGTAGAGGGCGGGTGGGGAGGGGGCTCTATATGTATGTATAACGGATACAACTTCACACAACTGAACATTGTTTTATAAACGTGATACGCAAATAGACTTGAAAATGTAAATGTAATCGATAAGTAAAATTATAAATTATATAAATATGTATGAGTAATTAAACAAATGACGCTAGAAGCGCATACATAAGTACAGCTTATGTTTACATATATATTCCCCAAGCGGACAACATGTGCAACGTACCTTAAAAAACGAAAGAGAAACTGTTGAGAGATGAGCACACACACACACACACACACATACAAACACACACAGCGAAAGAGTATGGAAAATTAATGAAAATCTAAACAACTATAACATGATAATGATAATAATAATAATAATAATAATGATAATAACACCCACCAAATCACAAAAGACTAATTCAAAAACAAAAAAGAAAGAAAGAAAGAAAGAGAAAGTAATGAAAGACGACAACTCAACGCTGCAAAAGCAGCGCAAAATGCATTCAACTTGCCTAAAACAAAACCAACAACAACAACTAAAGGAGAAATAACTCAACGGCCTCTCTACCTTAAGATATCATATAATACATATACACACACCCACACACTCACACTGTAGCGCCAGCCTCTCACATAATTTGTGTGCATGTGTTTGTAGCATAAAAACTTCCATTAATTTTAGTTTTTAAAACGAGTCCACTTCGAAAAAGAAAAGAAAACATTGTAAAATGATTTAAACACACACACACACACAAAATGGCTTTAAAATTCTAATTTAAACATTCTTGAATTGTACATATTGATAACTGTATAAAAAACAAAAAATATATCTTAAAAAAAGTTGCATATGTTATATACAATTTATTTATTTTAGGCCATTTAGCGCGGACGCAAACATTTTATTT